CCTGCTGGTGGCGGGAGGGGGGAGCCCCGAGCGGCGGGACCTCCCTACGGAGCCGGCGAAGGAGGAGCCGCCCCCGCCGCCCCAGCATCACGTCCTCTATTTCCCCGGCGATGTGCAGGTAACCCGGGGCCTGCCTGGGTACATACGCCTGGTGTGCTTACGCCTTCACTAGCTTCTTCCCTCGTGGCTGCTGCGGGGGTCCGTGTCTCACCTGAACACACCCACACAGGCCATCACGGGGTGGCTCTTCCGTTACTCCACGAAATCCCAAACCATCCCTTCTCCACCCAGACCGTGTCCCCGTTGAGCCGCAGAGGGAAGGTGTCAGGCTTCCAGGGGATGGAATTTGAGACAGGGAACGAAATTCCTGTATTCATATTCGTTCTGTAACTTGGTTTCTCAGAGGTGTGTGTGTGTGGGGGGGGCGGTGGTAGCAGAAAGAAAGCTTTTAAACAGCACGTGATGTTCAGAAAACAGTGACAGTAATTAGGAGACAAAACATCACCAAGGTATGTCATTTTCAGTAACCCTAAAAACAGGTGGAGGAGGGGGTGGAGGAAAAGGGACAGTAACCATTAGGCCTGTCAATATTTTTTGCTCACCTAAGTTTTAGACTTTTTGTTCGTGATTTCATCTTTGTAATTAATTTTATATAGCTACTGGCAAATGTCCGTGGTTATATTGTCCTGGAAGTTGGGCCTTAATCTAAAACCGCATTGTATAGGTAACCATTAGTATATATGACTAATTAAAATTGAATAAAATGTAAAAGTCCAGTTTCTTAGACTGGTCACATTTCAAGATCTCAGCTAGAAATGGTTTGTGTGTACTCTACTGGGGCAGTGTAAATACAAAACATTTTCTTTATTTTTTAAGTTTTGGTATAAGGCACATGTGCTCGCCTGAGACTGACACACAGAAGGAGAAAGAAACCACTGCCCTTAGAGGGAACAGTATGCAGCAGTCGCTTCCACCATTCACCTCTCAGGATTTTGGGCACCGTCGCACACTCGCCCAGGTGTGAATTTCACGCTGCCTGGTGGCTCAGATTCTGTGCTGTCGGCCATGTTGGATCCAGCTGCTTTAACCTCTGCACCACCTGCTGGACCAATGCAAAACATTTTGCTTATCACAAAAATTCTTTCAGCATTGGTGTAGCTAGGTAAAATGAGATTGTAGCTAGATTTATTTTACATGTTATAAAACAATATTAGTTTATCATTTTTGGAATTGATGCTTTAAAATGATAAACTTATAAACTTTGTGCCTTAAGTAAGATAATGATGAAGTTATATGTAGTATTTTTTTCTTGCCCTCAAAATCAATAATTGACTAATTGACTGCTAATTTTAAAATAGGAAAAAGCTAGTATTTAGATTTAAGAGAAGAAACTCAATTTATTCAATTGGCGCCCCTGTGCTTAGACTGGAAAAACAACATGTGGCATTTCTTTTTTTTTTTTTTTTAACATGTGGCGTTTCTGACAGTGACTTCCAGACATTTGTGACTGAATTAACTCATGCATGGTTATTTATAATAACAGTTATAATGGTAGTAATGATAACTAATATTTATTGAGTACCTACTACATGTTTTTAAATTATGTCAACCAGAATATAGTACAGGTCTTCCCACAAGGCTTAAAAAGTTCAATATGTCAGTAGTTTGAGTATATCCATTTTTTTCTTTCTCTCTGTATTTTTTTCTTTAAAGATTTTTGCCAGAGAGCACACATACTTGCTGGAAAACACTCCCTGTGCAGCATGGCCATGCCACAATCCTTTCTCCCCATTTCTCCCTCTTTTAGTATTTTGGGCATGAAAGCACATGGGCCCAGTAGGTTTCACCAAGCCTGTGATCCCAGATTTGTAACATGCAATTGGCCATGTGGGATCCAGCTACCTTAACTACTATGCATGGTCTGGCCTTCCTTTCATTTTTTACATCATCCATCTCTTTGTGCTGCCTGAGATTTCCTTAGCTTCTTGGAGAAATACTGTTGATTTATGCAGAGTATGAAGTACTCTAAAAAAAACCATAGATCATTTAAGTAATAGCTTATAGGATGTCAGTGAATATTAAATATATGGAAACCCAGAGTTCCCATCCCTTTTCATCTAATTACTTTTTCAATTATTGGAGTATCCTAGTGCTTTGTTTATGAACATTTCCTCTATCTTCTCTCTTTAGTGATCTCTTCCAGTATCTTGGCTTTTCATACTACCCTATACCCTGACAACCCTCTAGCTTAGATGTATTCCTCAAACTTTACTCACTAACTGTGTACGTGTTTATATCCTTGTGGATACTTGGTAGAGATAACAGACCTAATGTCTCTGATCTTTACCCCATGCAGTCTTCCTCATCTTAGTTAATGGAAGTTCTACCTTTTCAGATGTTCAGGTTAAAAATTGTGAAGTCATTCTTTAGACTCTGTTTCACACCTATATCTAATCCATCAACAAATCCAGTGTTTTCCATTGGATTTGTAACTACATGATGAGAACAATTGTTTTAAAATGTAAGTCAGTCATACTCACGCTCCTAACTCTCCAGTAGCTTGCCTTGTTACCTCTCTGACTCCATCTCATTTTTTTTCTGTTTTACTCTGTTCCAGCCTCATTGGCCTTTTTGGTGTTGCTCAAACATACCAGGCACACTGCCTTCCTGCACATACCTGTAGGATATTACCTTATCTTCTTCAGCTTTGCTCAAGTCCTTCTCTCAGGTCTTTTCCAACCATCTTATTTAATAATCGTATTTATATGTGGCCTCCCTGTCAGCTTTTCTCCTGTATTTTTATCCATTTCATTTACTGTATTAGTTACTTTGCATTTTGGGTTATATCTTTGGGTCTTCTGCCACCAAAATATAAGTTTATGTCTATCTGTTTACTGATACATATGAGATGCCTAATGCCAACAGGTAGTAGGTATTCACTAGGTAAATTGTTGCATGAATAAATTTATGTAAGTTGCTTGGAACGATACATGATGTGTTTGATATGTTTGGCTTTTTATAAAAAATGTACTTTTAGGCTCAGATTTCCTCATCTATATTTTTGCACTTGATTCTTCTGAGCCTAATATTTATCTTTGTGAAATTTACCCTGTTAGATACAGCCCATCATTTCAGTGTTGATCCTTCTAGAATGTTTGTTTAGATTTGTATCCTATGTAGATTAAATAAGCATTCTTTTTATAGCTGTATTCTTAATTTGAATCATTATTGAAGGGAGTAGGTCCAAACAGAACTTCATACGTTATCATTAGAAGCTTTGTCTCATCTTGGCACTGATTATTATTTGGTATTAAGTGAACTAATTGTATAATTTCAATCCTCCTAATTATTACTCTTCTGATGTTCATTTTTCAGTCATCAGTATGATGACTTTTTTGTTCTATATGTACCCTTTATCATTTGAATTAAAGTTGAAGCTGTAATAATTCATATTTCTTTAAGAGCCTTTTATGTTTTTCTTAGCAATTGGTAATGGTTTTGGAGGGAGATCAGGGTTTTTTGAAGTACATGTGTTCCAATTTTGAGTTACCTTTCTTTTCTTTTTTTTTTTTTTTTACTTTATTCCATTTAACATTATTTATTTATTTATTTGACCAGAGAGAGACAGAGAAAGTGAGAGCACAAACCACCAGGTCCAGGACTTGAACCGTGGTCGACCATGTGGGAGTCTAGTGCCCTTAAGCACCATGCCACCATTCAGCCTCCTTTTTTAATTATTTTTTAATTTAACTTTATTGATTTATTTAGTTGAATTACCTTTCTTTTTTTAAAAACCTCAGGATATAGAATTATACTTGTCTTTTTTTTTTTAAGTGTAAAGTATAATTTGATAAATTTTGACAAGTACTAGAATCATGTAACCACCACTGTAATTCTGTTATAGAGCATTTCTGTTACTCTAAAAAGTACCTCTGGGCATCTGTGGTCAGTTCCAAGCAACCAGTGATTTACTTTCTTTCACTATAGTTTCACCTTTTCTAGAATTTTATTAATTAAATCATATAGAAGGTGGTCCTGGCTTCTGACTTGTTTCACTTACCATAATGCTTTTGACTTGAAATTCATTCTAGTTGTTGCCTGTATCAGTTAATTTCTTTTATTACCAAGTTGTATTCTGCATGTGGATAAATAATTTATTCAGCATTTTATGAACACTTTATAATTTCCAGTTTTAACTTTTAAAAGAATACTGCTTCCTCAAGGCTATGATGTATAGATGACCATACCCTAAGTGGTATGTCCTGGTCATATACCTGGGCTTCTGTATCCTGTACGACAGCCAGCCCTCTTAGGCTGGATCCTCGTCAGTTCATTCTGGCCTCCTGATGGGGAGTGTGCACTTTATGCTCAGCAAAGATGTCCGTTTGCCTGATTTTTGATCGAAGTACAGCTGTACCCAACCAACATAACTCTCTCCCTGCTTTCTCTAAGAGTACACCACCTAACTTAAATCTTTTATCATGAATGTCTTCTAACTCTTAGAGACACATGTTAAGTCTTCCTAAAAGTCTTTTATACTTCAAAGGTAGTAGTATTGGGTGCACCTATAAATTTTTTCAGTTCAGCAACAATCTAACTGTGGAGTAAGCACCCCTTAAATCTCTGAGAGAGTCTCTTACCACTTGTCTTATTGGGGGTAAGGAGAAACATGACCTCCTGTTCTTACTTCCTATAAGGATGGTAAGTGCATTACATTCCCAAACCACAAAAGAAAACCCTCTCTTGCCTTTTGTCTGTAACAATTTCTGTAAATTGGCTGTTAAATAGACTGGATTGAAGAACCAATTTTCACTACCTCTTAGCAAGTCCTATGGGGGATGTCTTTATCTGCGGGATCTATGTTCTGAGACTTCCAATGGAAGACTGAAATGACAGGTAGTACCAAAACTTTTACTTTTTAGAATTATTTATTTAATTCCATTTGTTATCATTTTTCAATTTGACCGGAGAGAGACAGATAGAGAAAGGGAAAGGGAGAAAGCAAGCTGCTAAGTCTGGGACTCGAACCGTGGTTGGCCATGTGGGAATCCAATACCTTCAACCACCACACCACCTGCCAGCCCTAGTATTGAAACTTTTATGTAGTATGTTAAACTT